TGTTGTATAGTTTTATTATAATGAATTAAAGGGCTAATCTGGGAAGAAATAGCAGAGCTATATAATCATGACATGTTAGAATGGGAAGAAATTTGGAGGCTTCTTTGCCCATTCTCCATATTTTAGAGAGGAAAAAACTGAGGCCCAGAGACTTAAATATTTCTGTATCTCTCAAGTTGTCATTGTACACAAAGTGTAAGATTAAAGGTGTGTAAAAAGTGATTTCATTTGATAATTAAGGCAGTCTTGCAAGTATATTTAACCAAGTTCCAACTGAATCAATAAGAGAAATGGATTAAAAAAACAAAACAAGGGGTGCCTGGCTGGCTCAGTCGGAAGAGCGTGTGGCTTTTGATCTTGAGGTTCATGAGTTTGAGCCCCACATCAGTTATAGAGATTATTTAAATAAATAAATAAACTTTAAAAAATAAAATGAAACATGGGGTGCCTGGGTGGCTCAGTTGGTTAAGCCGCTGCCTTCGGCCCGGGTCATGATTCCAGAGTCCTGGGATCGAGCCCCACATCGGGCTCCTTGCTCTGTGGGGAGCCTGCTTCTCCCTCTCCCTCTGCCTGCGGCTCCCCCTGCTTGTCATCTCTCTCTCTCACTGTCTCTCTCTCTGTGTCAAATAAATAAATAAAATCTTAAAAAAATAAAAAAATAAAAATAAAAAATAAAATGAAACAAAACAAACACCCAAATAACAAAAAGCATAATACCTGGTACATAAAAAAATGCCTAGTAAATATTTGTGAATGAACAGATGAATAAAAAGATTTTATTGCTTTAATTTTTCAAGTTCCCTCATAGTCCTTGAATTCATATTTTATATGCTATAATGTGTATATGTAATTTGTTACTTTGCTTTTTGCACTTGAGTTATAGTGTCAATATTTTTCCTTATCATTATAAAATATGACTATAACCTTTTAAAGTACCTATTGAGGTTACAACACTTCTGAGATTCCCAAATGACTGCTAACCAGGGTGAACCTCAGTTTGGGAGCCCTCCCTCATTAAGGAATAAAATACAAAAATATATTACTTGAAAAAATATATAGCTCTTTCAAAAGGTCATTTCTAGGGCTTTGGAGGGGTCTGTGCATTGAAGGGCCCTGAATCTTCATTAGCTTCACAGTATACCTGCCTCTGTTAATAACCAGACTCCATCTTGATGGTGGTTATGATACAGCTTGAATGTTTTTCAGAAGTTTACTAAAATTTTAGAAATATACATCACTTTGATAGTGTTAGAAATTCTTTCTATCCAGCCAACCTGGAATCTATTTCAGACCCTGTTATAAACTCGGTGGCTTTTAATTATAAGCAAGTCTCTTAACTTCTTCAGGCCTCAAATTCCTCATCTGTCGAATGGGCTTAGTGTCTATCTCAAAGACTTACAAATGAAAACAAAGATAAAATACTTGGTACAGTTCCTGGCACAGAGTAAATGCTCAATAAATATTAACAACTCTGGTTATAGCAATAGTTAAAACATTAACTTACCACATATAGGAACTTCCTATCTCCATTGTAACTTCCCACTTTGACTGTAGGTAAAATAAGCTGTAAAATGAATTTCAAAGAATTGTGCAGATTCAATTTTTTATTACTTTAATTTTTAAAAATGTCATTGTGAAAAGTAGTAACTACATAACAGAACATTTGGAAAATAGAGGAAAGGAAAAAAAAGCATCCATAATTTTACCAGACGTTATATTTTCTTGTTGTGTTTTTCTCCTTAGTGCAGATGCTATTTTAAAAATGCTTGAAATGAGTATACCCAATTATTCTCTTTTCACAGAGGTTTGATATTATGGCATCATTGTTTTCAAATACATGGCAGATCTCAAATATCTTTTACATAAAACTTTTAGGAAAATCAGAATGAAGAAAAGGTACATATTCTACTGCAGTATTTCTACACTTATCTTTAAATATTCATGTTTTGGGGCACCTGGGTGGCTCAGTCTAGGCGTCTGCCTTCGGCTCAGGTCATGATCCCAGGGTCCTGGGATCGGCCCCACATCGGGCTCCCTGCTCCGCGGGAAGCCTGCTTCTCCCTCTCCCACTCCCCCTGCTTGTGTTCCCTCTCTCACTGTGTCTCTCTCTGTCAAATAAATAAAATCTTTAAAAAAATAAATAAATATTCGTGTTTTTACAAGGTTATGATGGTAGCGTACATAGAATTTAATATTCTGCATTTTTTTCTTACATTATATCACAAGCCTTTCTCCATACTTCTACATGCTAAGGCAACATTCATAGTAACCAAAGTACCTGAAGCCAAGGCTTAATTTCCTAAAATTCATACAACTGTATGTGAAGAAAGTAAGGTAGGCTAAGGTGTGGTAAGTCAGAAACTCAGAGTAAATGCTTTTGGTTTGCCTGCAACTATAATGTACAAAATGGAGATAAAGAAGTTAGAACTCAGGAATTCTTGCCTTCCAACTAAATGTCTAAGTCAGGAAAGGAATATATAGCCCTATCAACATAATTCTAACTTGTACATGCACTTTTATTTCTTCTTTAATAGGTGAGAAAGTGGTGGAATACTACTCAGTGGCAAAGACTTGTTACAATGTTATTATTGGGGTTTTAGCTCTCAAAACTGGGTAAATGTACTCCCCACCACACCCTAAAGGGTCTTTCTTCAAAATTTAGCAAAGCGACACAAATCGTCACTATAAAGAACAAGTCAAGATCTGGTCATGGTTGTCTGGATTCAGTGACATGTTGTTGTAAAAAGCCTTTTACCCTTTAATTATGCTTTTGTGTTGATAGTCGTTAATTTCAGAGCACAAATTTTTCCCTTAAAGCTTCTTTATTCCTTTAATGTTGTCCTGCCATAGTAAATCAAGCCACATTTTATTTATTTAACATTTTATTTTACTTTATTATTTTTTTAAAAGATTTTATTTATTTATTTGACAGAGAGAGAGACAGTGAGAGAGGGAACACAAGCAGGGGGAGTGGGGGAGGGAGAAGCAGGCTTCCCACTGAGCAGGGGAGCCCGATGTGGGGCTCGATCCCAGGACCCTGGGATCATGACCTGAACCAAAGGCAGATGCTTAACGACTGAGCCACCCAGGCACCCCTAAGATTTTATTTTTAAATAATCTTCACACCCAACGTGAGGCTCAAACTCACAACCCCAAGGTAAATAGTCACATGTTCCACTGACTGAGCCAGCCAGGTGCTCCTCAAGCCACATTTTAAAAACCGTAAAATATACACTGAGGAAACAATCCATATGTCCATTGCCAAATGAATGGATAAACAAAATGGGGCATATACATACAATGGAATATCATTCAGCATTAAAAAGGAAGGAAAATTTGATACATACCACAATACAATGAACCTTGAAGACGCGTTAAGTGCAATAAGCCAGACACAAAAGAATAGATATTGTATGGTTCGACTTGTATGAGGTATCACAGAGACAGAAAAGAAAATATTGGTTAAAAGGGGATGTGGGGGAGGAGAAAGGGGGAATTATTGTTTAATGGGTGCAGAGTTTCAGTTTGGGATGTAGAAAAAGTCCTGGAGATGGACGGTGGTGATGGCTACACAACAAGGTGAATGTATCTATTGCCGATGAACGATACACTTAAAAATGGTTAAAGTGGTAAATTATATATGTTTTATGGTAAATTTAAAAAAATCCCCCCAATATAACATAAACATTTTCGGTTTAAGAAGTAATTCTAAAGCAAATACATGTGTCATTACCATCTAGGTCAAGAAATAAAATACTATCAAAAGGTACCCCTGTGCTCCTCCCCAACACAACCTTTCTCTTCCTTCCTGAGTAATCACTCTCACTCATAATGTTTCTGACTAACATTTGCTTTTAAAAAATCAGGTTGTGGGCACCTGGGTGGCTCAGTTGGTTGAGCGACTGCCTTCAGCTCAGGTCATGATCCTGGAGTCCCTGAATCGAGTCCCGCATCCGGCTCCCTACTTGGCAGGGAGTCTGCTTCGCCCTCTGACCCTCCTCCCTCTCATGTGCTCTCTCTCTCTCATTCTCTGTCTCTCAAATAAATAAATAAAATCTTAAAAAAATTAAAAATCAGGTTGTGATGTGATAATGCAGGATAAATTAAACCAACATTACAAAAGCAATAGAGTATTTAAATTCCAATATTTTCCATACATACAAAAATTTTTTTTAACTTAGTAAGTTTTAAAGTGCCTTTTCTCCTGTCTTTTGCTCTTGAAACTTCATATTCTACAACTTATCACGGTTCTATAGTTGACCTCACCTGGAGTTAACAACAACAACAGCAATAACTCAACAACAATACTACTTCACTGTAGATTTTAGATTTTCATTCCTCCCGCTCTCCCTTGCCTCCAACTACAGAGAAACAATGATTTAAACCCTTTGTGCCCTTTTAGAAAATTACACAGATACCCCATTGTGGAACCCTATAATCCCTTCGTGGAAAGGAAGAGATTAGCATATGAATACAAAGCAAAATGAATCCAGAATACAAAATGATCTACTGAATTGTGAGGCTCTTGTATTCTTAAAAAATGTATTTATTTCCTCTTTTTGTATTGCCCCTTTAGTGGTCTCAGGGTTAAGGGAACTGATCTTCTCCTCTGGTTACCCGGAAAAGGATTTAAAAAAAAAAAAAAGCCAACAGATTCTAGGAGGTGCAAAACCAACAGATGGCTCCCAGAGCCAGTGGAATCGCCAGTGGAATCTGCTACACTCGACGTGAGTTTGCTTGCGGGGAGGAGTGTAGAAAGTGCTGTTCGCAGACTGCGCGGTGAAGGAGAGAAAGCGACAGAAGAGCCATAGTGCTGACGTTGAAGGCCCGGCCCTGTGAGGTTGCACAGGGTAAGTGGCGTTGGCCAGGAGGCAGTGGCGAAGGGGAAGGAAAGAGGATTTGGGCTAGGGGCGGGGCCTGCGGCGCAGCGTGCCTCCTGATTGCTGGAGCGCCGCTGCCAATCTCGCAGAATCGCTCGGTTAACCAGTGCGCTGGCTGGACGCGCTCAGATATACTGAGTGAGCCCTGAGAAGCAGTCTCAGATCCTGACGGTGCAGCAGCCCGCAGCCTCAGCCAGGGAGTCCCAGCCGCTTTCAATGGAGGAGAAGCCCGGCCAGCCACAGCCTCAGCACCATCACAGCCACCACCATCCGCACCATCACCCCCAGCAGCAGCAGCAGCAGCAGCAGCAGCAGCAGCCGCACCACCACCACCATTATTATTTCTACAACCACAGCCACAACCACCATCACCACCACCATCACCAGCAGCCTCACCAATACCTGCAGCATGGAGCCGAGGGCAGCCCCAAGGCCCAGCCTAAGGCGCTGAAACATGAGCAGAAACACGCCCTCCAGCAGCACCAGGAAACGCCGAAGAAGAAAACAGGTCTGGGAGGGAGGACGAGTGGGGGAAGGGGAATGGGGGTGGGGGGTAGAGGAGATGGGGGTGGGGCTGGATGTGGAAAGCGCGGACGCGGTCGGAGTGGTTGTGTGTGTGTGTGTGTGTGTTTGTGTGTGTGTGTCTTGCCTGTGTCCTGCGGGTCTGGGGAAGCCCCCTGCCATTCTCCCAAAGCCCGGGCTGGGCCGCGGGCTTTGCAGCGCCCTCTCCTTCCCCTCAGCAAGGGAGAGGCCCAACCAGGCCAGTGTGACCTTCCCGGCCCCCGCCCGGGCTGGAGGGAGACCCGGAGGGTCGGCCTTGGAAGTCCAGCCTCATTATTCCTTTCCCGTTTACCTTCCCGAGGCCCCGGAGGAACCTTAATTTGGTAGCCCTGATTTGGGGTGTCCATAGCTCCCCCCCAAAAGCCTTCGGGGTGTATCTCAAGAAGGCCTAGCGAATCCCGACTTTGGTGGTGTCGCGAGACCCTTTTGCAAGCGGCGAGGCGAGGGTAGGTGGGCAGAGTTGAGGAAGTGTCCTCCCTCACCCGCCACCCCAAGCCCACCTGTGGCCTTGGGGTTCCCCGGCTGGGGGGGCGGCCGGGACCCCTCGTCTCTCGAGTCATTTCCACCTCTAGACGCCCCTTTCGGGCACCAGACCCTGCAGTCTGCCCTCGCGGCTCCTCGCGAGGCCGGCGCCCCGGGCCCGCTCCCCCCAGAGCCGGCGCGGCTGGAATGTTCTCTCCTCCTCGCGGGGCCGCTTCCTGTCCGCCATGTTGGAAGCCGATTCCTGTCACCGACTCCGGCCCACTGAGGAGCGGAGGGGGAAGGGTGTCGAGGGGGCTCGGCGCGGCGGAGCTGGGGGGCTCGGGATCCCCCACCCGCGGCCGCCTTGCCCCCCGCAGTGCGGGGGCGCCGTCGCCCCCGGCCCGTGGCCGCCCCTCCCCCCGTCGCCGGCCGGGTTGTGTAACCCGGTGGCGGCCGCGCGGTCCCGGGCGGGTCCCTGGGGTGAGGGGCGGGGGCGGTTGGGGTGGGGGAGGGAAGCGGCCACGAGGGGAGCGGCCTGCACCGGGCCCCGCGCGCCGGCGGCCGCGTTTCCCGCTCCCGGGTGCGGCGGGAGGCGCGGGCGGTCCGGGCGGGGAGCCGGCCTCGAAGTGGAGCCGGGAGCGGGAGGCCGCGGGCGGCGGCCGCGGCGCTCCTTGGGGCAGGGGGGCTGGGGGGGGGGGTACATTTTGGGTAGAGGCGGTGCCTGAAGGCCGGGTGGGGTACCCAGCGGGAACCAGGCTCCCCGGTCACGAGTTTCTCTGCCACAGGAACCTCGTCTCCTGCCAGGTTCGCTCACGACTCCGCCTCTCAGGCTTTCACTTGGGCCCTTTCCCTCTAGCAGCTCATTTTAACCAAAAAAGCTTGTTTAGCTCCCTCAAGCCCCCCAGCATTTACCTTCTGGGCTTGGGTAGTGATTTCGAGGAGAGAGATTAGAAAAATGATTGGATGGAGGGAGAGGGCGAGTTTTTCTTGACCCCTGTTTCTTGTCCTTAAAGGAGAAACGAGGTGGCTCATCCATGAGGTTGGTTCACTACCATCTTGCCTCGGACGAGGCTTTTTTCCCTGTAAAAGGGAAAGGTGTTTTTCTATTTTCAAATTGATGCCGAGCCCCAAAGTCTTGATTTGAACAAATGTTAAATTGAGAGTAAAAGTCATTTTAGAAGACATTTGAAAAATGAACGTAAAAGTTTGTAACCAGGCAGATTTTTGCAAATTAAAGATTCCTTATAAATTGAAGAGAAATAAAGGGAATGGTAAGAAAATGGATGTTAAACCCAGCATATCAAATGTGATACAAGCAGTTACTAAGAGCTGGAGAAAAATTGCTGTTCTATTGAAGACTTAATGTAATTTGAAGACTGAAATTGGAATGCCAGATTTTTCACTTCTGGGGGTAGGGACATCAGGTGTGCAGTAGAAGTGAACATATATTATTACTTAATCTTAACGGATTTGGAACAGCTTGAAAACTGTTAGAAAGTATACAACACTAAATGTTTTAACCTTAGGTCTTTTTCAACTTAGAGGAAAGAAAATCTTTATTATGGTTGCTTGGAATATAAAGCAGTATTACTGTTCAGATTGGAAAATTGTATTTCGTTGGCCAGGTATTAATGTACCCCTGCAGGCATCGTCTCTGCATATAGAAGCAGCCCCTGAACCCATTCAAGGTGGCGTTCTTCAATCAGTATGTCTTAACTAGGAAGAGGATAAAGAGGGGAAACTGGGCTTAGCAGTTTTGAGAGAATGTAAATAATTTGGGATGAACAGTGTGTGGCCTGGTTACAGTACTGTGACTTCAACAGGTATAATGCTAATTTACTAAGAAAATTATGAGCATTTTTGAAATGTATCTGTAATATGTTGAAGTGGGCTTTTATGACCCATTACCCACAAACCTATAAAGAGGAACCTGTTTTCTTTTCCAGAAGAGGGCGCAAGAGAGGGCCAAATGTGTTCAGTAATTCCGATTTCTAATCCAAAAGCTAGATTTATCAGGACTGAAGTTTTGCAGAGTCCATTTGAGGTAGGGTTAGATGTTTTAGCATGACAAACCTGAATAGTGAAAGTGCAGAGAGCCCTTTGACTTCTCTCAGTGATTCTGTGGTGTTTGCATTTTTCTTAAATACCTAAGTTTCTAAAAGAAAATGTCTCTGGTACACTTTGCATACCAACAAAGTTACTATAGAAAAAAAATTTTTAAGACTTTATTTGAGAGAGGATAGCATGATGGGGGGTGGCGGTGCTGAGGGAGAGGGAGAAGCAGTCTCCCCACGAGACCAGGACCCTGAGATCATAACCTGAACATAAGGCAGACGCTTAACTGACTGAGCCACCCAAGTGCCCCTGGAAAAAACTTTAGTTAAATGAGAAATGCTATTTGTTATTAAAACTTGGGAGTAGAAGTATAGTGGCTTTTGGGCTGTCATTAAATTGTTTGGTGATTGCTGATACTGGAACCACTAAATACTAGTAATTTTAAGGAAAAATTATTCTGGTTCACTTAAAAGTCTTGGCTTTGGTCCAGGTTAGTCTGGATATTGGAATTTTTTTTTTAAGACTGGTTGCTTACCTTTGAGAATGTTATGACTAATGGGCCCAAGAGTAGAGACCTTTGTTTAGCCTGTTGGCATGTTAAATGGTATATGTAGTTTTTCTTTTTAGTCTAGAGTTGTACACAGGTAAACTTGGATCTGTTAAAAATGTTGAGAGCCTCTATTTAGGAATTTTTTTTTTAAGAAAAAAAGAACCGGGCGCCTGGGTGGCTCAGTTAGTTAAGCGACTGCCTTCGGCTCAGGTCATGATCCTGGAGTCCCTGAATCGAGTCCCGCATCGGGCTCTCCCTGATCAGCAGGGAGTCTGCTTCTCCCTCTGACCCTCTTCCCTCTCGTGCTCTCTCTCTAATTCTCTCTCTCAAATAAATAAATAAAAATCTTTAAAAAGAAAAAAAACCTTTCAGAAAACATCTTAAGCAGTGATCTCCTCTTTACTAGTAGTTTCATAGTTAGAATTTTTCCGCTAAGGTTTGATTTGATTGGCTGTCAAAAGAAAAACTCAGTCAAAAAAATAACTCTACAGAAGTTAAGAGCTTTAACAAAACACTTTTTATGGTACAAGTTTTGTGCCATTCAATCTTAGGAACGATTATAGTCTTGAGTTATTTTCTGGAAGTTAATACAGTAGAAGAAAATGCCTTTATTTGTTCATTCTTAGCGTCCTTATCTTTTTCTCTGATATGGAATGAGTGCCTTAAAATCATGGTACATCCTGTCGTGCATCTTCCCAGACTATGTTCTATTCCACATCAAATTCTTTTAAAACAATGGTTCTCGGGCACCTGGGTGGCTCAGTTGGTTAAGCGACTGCCTTCGGCTCAGGTCATGATCCTGGAGTCCCAGAATCGAGTCCCACATCGGGCTTCCTGCTCAGCAGGGAGTCTGCTTCTCCCTCTGACCCTCTTCCCTCTCGTGCTTTCTATCTCTCATTCTCTCTCTCAAATAAATAAATAAAATCTTAAAAAAAAAAAAAGGTTCTCACACTTGTAAAAAAAAAAAAATCCTAGATCCCTTATGTTTTTAAAATTCACAAAGAGCTTTTACTGTGGGTTATATATCTGTTGATTACCATATTGGGAATTAAAACAATTTCAAAACAAGAATATAGCTCACATTCCTTTTAGCCTTCACAGGCTAAAGGCCCACAAGAATGAATGAAAGTGACAAAGGCAAATTACCTGGTATTCTTATCGGACACCCCTCCCCCAATCCCCTGAAAAGCTGCCTTAAATCATTGTGTGTGTATCCTTCTATTATGTATCTGTTTCTAATTATTTCTAATTACTTGACCTCAAAATGCTTTTGGGAACATTTCATAGAAAGGTGGATAACTAATATTACTATTTTACTGGTAAGGAAACAGGAAAAGCTGTTAGCCTAATTGAATAACGTATAGTAGTAAACTCTTTATGGTAGTTGAAGGTCTTAAACTTGAGCACCATAAAACTTTTTAAAATTAGATACCTTTCATTGTAGTTTTGTTTAGTAAATAATACTGCATCACTTGTAGGCAGTATTACATAGTGATAGGATACTATGTTATAGGCAGACAGACTGGAGTTCAGATTTCCAGTTCTCTACGTTGTGACTTGGGCAAGTTAATTTCCCTGAGAGTCTGCTTACCCAGATGTAAAATGAAGAAAATATATTTTAAAAGAGTTAGAAACATTGGTACATAGTTGTTTTGGTTTCATACATTAACAGTATGATCTAATGTCTGGGAAATGTCAAAATAAATTCAAGACCACTGTAGAAAGAGTTCATGAGTATTAGATTTTTGTTCAGCAGAATGCAGTAGAAACTGCTTATAGTGACTACCAGCCATTTATGGTTGCATAGAAAGGGATTTTTTTTTTTTTTAAGATTTTATTTGAGAGAGCTCATGAGAGCATGAACAGAGGAGGGGAGGGGCAGACAGTGGTGGGGAGAAGCAGACTCCCTGCTGAACAAGGAGCCCAATGATATGGGGCTCAATCCCAGGACCCTGAGATCAGGGCCTGAGTTAAGGCAGCTTAACTGACTGAGCCACCCAAGCGCCCCTAGAAAGGGATTCTTTAATTTCCCTGTACAATTAATGTATCAACATAACTTGATTTTTGCCCAGAGGGTAGCTCTGCTCTTAATTGTAAAGGAAATTTTATAACAGCCTTATGAGAACAATGGGGAAGTTGATTCTGTTAGATGAGGGGTATTATGGCCTGCTGTTAAGAGGTCTTGTTCTTTCTGACCTCAGACTTTTTGAATTCCAGCTTGGTTCAGTCTCTTGCTTGGTAGACTTCTGATTACTAATATGGGGCTCACAAGTGTTTTCTCCTCGTAGTTGTGAAATAATAACAGATTGTCAAGCTAATGCTCATAGCATAGTGTCTTTAAATGTTAGGTACTACTGTAATTTGTATGTTATAATTGTAAAAAAAAAAAAAAACACTTTTTTTTTCCCCCCTCTCTAGGCTATGGTGAACTAAATGGTAATGCTGGAGAAAGAGAAATACCTTTAAAGAGCCTGGGTTCTGATGAAGCTACCAACCCTATTTCCAGGGTCCTCAATGGCAACCAACAAATTGTAGACACTAATCTGAAGCAGACTGTAAAGGCCAGCACCTTTGGGAAAGCAGGAATTAAAACCAGGAATTTCATTCAGAAAAACAGTATGGACAAAAAGAATGGGAAATCTTATGAAAATAAATCTGGAGAGAACCAGTCTGTAGACAAGACCGATACAGTAGCAATTCCAAATGGTGTTGTAACAACTAATTCTGGCTATATTACTAATGGTTATATGGGCAAAGGAGCAGATAACGATGGTAGTGGATCTGAGAGCGGATATACCACTCCCAAAAAAAGGAAAGCTAGGCGTAATAGTGCCAAGGGTTGTGAAAACCTTAATTTAGTTCAGGACAAAATAATGCAACAAGAGACCAGTGTCCCAACCTTAAAACAGGGACTTGAAACTTTCAAGCCTGACTACAGTGAACAAAAGGGAAATCGAGTAGATGGTTCGAAGCCCATTTGGAAGTATGAAGCTGGGCCTGGAGGAACAAATCGAGGAAAACCCGCTGTGGGTGATATGCTGCGGAAAAGCTCTGATACTAAACCTGGTGTGAGCAGCAAAAAGTTTGATGATCGGCCCAAAGGAAAGCATGCTTCTGCTGTTACCTCCAAAGAGGACTCATGGACCCTATTTAAACCACCACCAGTTTTTCCAGTGGACAATAGCAGTGCTAAAATAGTTCCTAAAATAAGTTATGCAAGCAAAGTTAAGGAAAACCTCAACAAAACTGTACAGAATTCTTCTGTGTCGCCATCTTCATCCTCTTCATCATCTACCGGGGAAACTCAGACCCAGTCTTCAAGTCGGTTATCCCAGGTCCCTATGTCAGCGCTGAAATCTGTTACTTCGGCCAACTTTTCTAATGGGCCTGTTTTAGCAGGGACTGATGCAAGTGTGTATTCTCCAGGGGGTCAGCCACTGCTAACTACTGCTGCTAATACTCTAACACCCATCTCTTCTGGGACTGATTCAGTTCTCCAGGACATGAGTCTGACTTCAGCAGCTGTTGAACAAATTAAATCTAGCCTTTTTATCTATCCTTCAAATATGCAAACTGTGCTGTTGAGCACGGCACAAGTGGATCTACCCTCTCAGACAGATCAGCAAAACCTGGGGGATATCTTCCAGAATCAGTGGGGTTTATCATTTATAAATGAGCCCAGTGCTGGCCCTGAGACTGTTATTGGGAAGTCATCAGATCATAAAGTGATGGAGGTGACATTTCAAGGGGAATATCCTGCCACTTTGGTTTCACAGGGTGCTGAAATAATCCCCTCAGGAACTGAGCATCCTGTGTTTCCCAAGGCTTATGAGCTGGAAAAACGGACTAGTCCTCAAGTTCTGGGTAGCATTCTAAAATCTGGGACTACTAGTGAGAGTGGAGCCTTATCCTTGGAACCCAGTCATATAGGTGACCTGCAAAAAGCAGACACCAGTAGTCAAGGTGCTTTAGTGTTTCTCTCAAAGGACTATGAGATAGAAAATCAAAATCCTCTGGCGTCTCCTACGAACACTTTGTTAGGCTCCGCCAAAGAACAGAGATACCAGAGAGGCCTAGAAAGAAATGATAGCTGGGGTTCTTTTGACCTGAGGGCTGCTATTGTATATCACACTAAAGGTAACTCATTTGTTCTTCTATAAAGATTCCTACTGGTTGATTTAACTTATATTAGCTGGTGTATTAAGGGTGAATTTTGGAAATTACTATGAGATTCTTTAAGAATTTGGAAACTAAGTTGAGAATAACAGTGGATAAGCAGCTGATAAACTAATTCAGGGTCTTTGGAAATAGTACTATTAAGAAGGAATGTTCACTTTTTCAACTTAAAAGCATTTTTTTTTTTTTAATATGTACAAGTATATTTGACTTCCTACACTTGGTTCAAAGAGTGAAGAGGGGTGGAGTTGTGCCTAAAGGGATGACATATTTTCTCTTGGGTTCTTTTTAAAATTTTTCTTTGAATAGATGTTCGCTCTCCTTTGCTTTTTATGTCGTATGCTTCTTTATTAGTGGGCTCACTTGATGGTTCTAATTTGTGTAAAATGAGTAGGAGCAGCGTTTTTGAGGAGTCCAAAAAGATGGAGTGTCAAACTATGTTTTCTCTCATATGAAGGAATAATGGGTGCTGAATGGTAAATGGAAAATAATTTCGGTAACTGCAATGGCAAGCCCAATTAGCATTGTAGGAACCAGGCTCTTGGAATCTGTAGTTTTCATAGTCCAAAGCCTATGTTAAAAAAAGGAAACCGATATCTTTCAAGTCCATGCTCATTACTTTTTTAGAATGTGGTTTGTGTCTTTTTTTTTTTAAAGTTAAAATTAATTTATTTCAGAGAGAGAGCAAGCGTGGGGAGGGGCAGAGGGAGAATGCGGAGCAGGGAGTCCACTGCAGGGCTTAGTCCTAGGACCCTGAGATCATGACCTGAGTCGGATGCTTAACCGACTGAGCCACCCAGGCACCCCATTTGTGTCTTAAAAATATGCTGTATGGCAGGGCACCTGGGTGGCTCGGTTGGTTAAGTGACTGCCTTCGGCTCAGGTCATGGTCCTGGAGTCCCAGGATCAAGTCCCACATTGGGCTCCCTGCTCAGCGGGGAGTTTGCTTCTCCCTCTGACCCTCCGCCCCTCATGTGTTCTCTCTCTCTCTCTCAAATAAATAAATAAAATCTTTTAAAAAAAATACGCTGTATGGCATAACTTATTATCCCTACAGCAAATAACGAGGCTTAGTGAATGATGTTTACAACCTAGGTACTTTTGAGAACAGTGGTTTTCAGTCTTCCACTTCCCTATTCCCCTCCTCCCCTAACAGAAATCTGTACCCCATGCATGCATACACACACCTAAGATATGCTGCACATTCCCATTTTTAACATTGGCTCATTTAGGCAGTGACTTGGAACTGCAGGGAAGGGGCAGCATATCATAGTGGGGATGAGGTAATTCCCATATTCTCCCTGGAAGAATCACTGCCTCAGAGATGAATAACAAAGCTATTTATGTGACTTTTAAGCAAATTGCCTCCTCTGCATACCTTTCCTTATCTGCAAACTGGAAGACATTAGTAAAATGAACAGATGTCCTTTTTCTATTTTTTTTCCCTTTAAAAAATGGGAGTAAGTAGTAGTATTGCCTTATGGGAGTTTAGGAGTAGAAATCCTGGCAGATAAAATTACCTGTCTTCACTTTTTTCTCCAGCACTGCTATTTGGAAGTAAATGCATTAACCAGGAAGTGGATGTTTTTAAGAAAGTTAGGGCAAAAAAATTGCTTAGTTTCTTAAGACTTGTGGTTAATTACCAGTTAAATTCTGCTGGGGGAGTTGGCATTTTTGGTGGTATCTTCTGTGCCATCTGCCCTCCAGAGACCTTTATTGGGAAAAGCTTTACCTGAGTATTTTGTATTGGTGGTCGTTGTGTGAACCTGAGAGGGTATCTGATTATGTTCTTCCGTAACCTGCGAAAAAGTCCGGGACAAGTTGTTCCGTTAAGTGGTGGTTGGCTGGTGGTTTTATATAGATTTTTATAATGGAGAATTGTAAGCCTTTTTAAATGAGAGTATTAACTCCTATTTATTTCTAGGTATTCTCTATGCATTTTCCGTATAGGTAGGCTAACTAGATAGGAAATCAGTGGTATTTAGATGAGCTAAATGCCCCTACATGGATGCAGTTATATTTAATTTTGCTGATATTACTGAATGATTTGTTTTAGTAAAGTGCATCAATTTGAATTTTGTAGTTGGATATTATTGAGATTAAATTGGTATTGATTGCCCACCCCCCCAGAACAATGGATAGCATTCAGTTCAGTTAGTTCCCAAAGTGGTCAGGTTCTTTGAATTAGTGCCAAATGTGGATTGGTTCATTAGGTCACTAATTTTTCTTTGAATTTGGTTTGAATTACAACCTTTTGAAGATCTGCAGATCTTTCTCATAAGCAAAGGCTGGCTTTTTTTTTCCCCCAAGTTGTCTTAAACTCTAAAGGAGGTAATAATCAGTTGGGCTTATTGGAATATCCTTTAAAAGAGGACCTGTATTTTCTTGGTCCGTTAGTGTAGTCTTCTCTTTAAACTTTCAAAGGCAACCACTTACTGAGTTAAAGTTAGACTCAGGAATAGAAGTTCTTATGCATACCTCTTAACTTCAAAAATAAGCTCTTCAACAACTTTATTTGGAAATAGGTAAGAGGGTGCTTGGTGTCAGTTTAGTAGGAATGGTGCATTTTTTAGTTTAAACATTAATTACTTGCAGCCTTAGACTAATGTTCAGTACATTTTGAGGATATGAAATACAGATATGAGGCATAAAAAGATTGGTGGGAATTCTAGTTCTTGGGATTTTTCTTTTTATGTATTATGCTATTAACTTTTCTTAAGAAACAGGAGGGTTAATCATTATATTATCTGGGAGAATATTGTACCATTACATAGCAGTATTAATATTTATGGTGAGATGTAGGTCCTATTTTCTATTTTTCTGAAGTGACACTTAAGGGGTGAACTTTAAAGTGATATCTTTTTAAACTGACTATGAAAAAATTTATATTCAAAAGTGGAACCTATAATGAACCCCAATGTACCCATCGTTCAGTCTGAACATTTAAAAAGCATGGTCATTCTTACTTCACCTGTCTACCTTCACACTTTCTTTGGTAGCAGTGTCAAGAGCAAATTCCAGGTATCCTAACATTTTGCTAGTTGATACTTCTGTTATGTTAGAGTGATAACTTTTAATGCACATACCCAGGACATATAACTGTTGCCTCCTTTAAAGCATTTACTTTTCAGAGACTTGTAACACTAGACCCTAACTTTTTGAGGTGAATATTTGATTTTGAAATGGTCATTTGAAGTAATTTGATTTAAAAAAAAATCATTTGAAGCCAAATCTGTTGAAATAGGTTGGTGTGAGTTGTGTGTTTGGTCAGTGTTTGTTTAAACCAGGTTGATTTATCTTGCCTAACTAATAATGCACTGAAGGTTATCAAGCATTCAAAATGCTGATATTTTGGAGTATTCATGAAAAAATAATTTGATATGGTAAATTTTACCCAGCATGTAGAGATGCAAGGGGAGATGAATAAAATAAGGTGTAATTCTTGATGGTTGAAGTGAGTCAGCATGACCGTTATCTAGTATAAATGTCCTTGAGGGAACAGTAGGCTATAGTATGAAACTTTAAGAATTTGTTTCTCTGTTACTTCCATAGGTTACTGGCATAAATGATTTGATTCGCTAGATCTAGGCAACACCCTGGAATAAAAATGTGTTTTAACTCACTAGGTGGTTCTCATTGCCAGCTAGGATTGGGAACTCCAAGTCTAGAGAGCTTTCTTCAGCTTAATCCTTTTTTTCTTTCTCTGCCACAGTTGTGGAGTAATATGTATGTGTGTGTGTTTTCCTTTCTCTTACGATGTACTTAGAGGCAAAGTACTTTGCTTAGTTATGGAAGACTTCGAAAGGGTGAGTCTTTTTCTTTGAAGAGCTTAAGTAGAGGTGAAAACAGTACACAAGTTTACTAGGCAAGATTTTAAGTGTCATACAGATATAAATACCTAGAAGACTTTAGTGGAAGGAGAATTTTTAAGGGAGTAAATGTGGGAAGAGTAAATGCAGGTATGTTTTCATGGAGGCAGCAGTATTTAAACTGAGTTTTGATGGATGGGGAAGATTTTTTGACTTACAGAAATGCAGAGAGGAGGAAGATAAAGAATAGATAAGTTGGAGAATCCTGAGTAAATGTAAATATTGGAAGCGTTCTGCTTTGGATGTGGTGAGGGGACATAGAAGGAAGGTAAGTTGCTACCAGATCATCAGATCAGTCTGGAGGCAGGTGGGGAGCCACTGAATATCAGGGAGACGGGCTGGTGGAATGGAAGTGACTTAACTGCACAGAAGACAGGGGTGAATGCTGAAGTAGTCCTAATTTCTGTGTACCTGAAAAAAAAATTGTCATTTCTAAGCTTGGGCTTCTAAATTTATAAAATAGTACATCAGCCTTTGTTTTATTGTACACTTTTAAAAACTGAGTTGGTATTAGTACCTTGCATTCAGGTAGATTAATGGGGCACCAATTTGTAAGATACATTGGAAGTCATTTTTCTTTTTTTTTCTTTTTTTAAAGATTTTATTTATTTGACAGAGAGAGACAGCGAGAGAGAACACAAGCAGGGGGAGTGGGAGAGGGAGAAGCAGGCTTCCTGATGAGCAGGGAGCCCAGTGCAGGCTCAATCCCGGGACTCTCAGATCATGACCTGAGCTGAAGGCAGACGGTTAAAGACTGAGCCACCCAGGCGCCCCTGGAAGCCGTTTTTCTGATGAACTCTTGGAATAGTCTTGGCAGAGGAATAACAAGATTTTACCTTTTGTATTTGCAGTCATATGAATGTATTACTTATCTGAAAATAAACATTATATATTTTTTTAAGATTTTATTTTTTTGACAGAGACACAGCGAGAGAGGGAACACAAGCAGGGGGAGTGGGATAGGAAGAGGGAGAAGCAGGCTTCCCGCTGAGCAGGGAGCCCGATGCAGGGCTCGATCCCAGGACCCTGGGATCATGACCTGAGCTGAAGGCAGACGTTTAACGACTGAGCCACCCAGGCGCCCCAATTTAT